TATATCAGAAGCCCCCCTTCACTTCAGATTCCCCCCTTTTACATCACAGACCCCCTTTCACATCAGAAGATTTCACATCGATTTTCAAAATCGATTAGTTAGCCGATTATTAAGGGGTCTATTCACTAAACTGCCGTAGGTGACAAACCGAACCCAAAGCGAAGTGAGCCGAACGCTGTTTGGCTATTCACTTCAGGCTGGCACGGCTGATTCCAGCCATATATCGGTTGAAATCAGCAGTACATCGGGTGGCTTCGGGTCGGCCGAACATGCTCAGCCAATCCAACATCTGGAACGGCTAAGCCACTCACTGCTGTTCAGCCTATTCTCATGGATGCCGAACAGCAGTGAGTGAATAGCCAAATTTGGCATTCGGCTCGGCTGTTCTGTTCGGTACCTATGTGGTACCGAGCAGAATAGGAAAACAGTTAAAAAAGTAAAAAAAAAACAGTTAAAAAAGTAGTAAAAAATAAAATAGAAAACGATTGGGCAGAGCTAGCAGTGACAGCTAGCTCCGCCCAATTGTTTTCTATTGGCTGGGCGGTTCTGCTGCCTTCAGAATAAAAAAAAAAAAATCACCATAGGAAAGCATAGCTAGATTCCTATTGGCTATTTCACTGTGCAATAGTGAACCCGCCCTCTGCTGCTTTCAATCACTAGAGGGGACCTGATGGAGAACTTCAGGTCCCCTCTGCTGATTGACAGCAGCAGTGGGCGTGTGCAATAGCTAGTTTGCTATCGGCTATTGCAAATTGAAATAGCCAATAGGAATCTAGCTATGCATTCCTATGGTGATTCTTTTTTTTTATTATTGTGACAGCAGCCAACGGCTCCGATGTCAGAAGAAAAACAAAACAGAGCAGGGAAAGGTTTACTTCCTCGCATCACTTTACATAGCCGCATATCTTGCTGTTTGACAGCCGCGGTTGCAGACTTTCTTCTGAAAGTTGGAACGGATGTCTCCTGCAGTGGTGTAGCGTGGGGGGCTAGGGTTGCTGCGGGCCCCACACACAGTGGGATGGCTCTTTCCACACAGAACTCACAGCAGACGACTGAGTCTGCCTGTATACAGCGTGGTTCACATTGTCCCTGCTGATACTCCACATCTCCCCCTCTGATCCTTCACATTTGCCCCTCTGATCCTCCACATCTGCCTCTGATCCTCCACATCTGCCCCTCTGATCCTTCACATCTGCCCCTCTGATCCTTCACATCGGCCCCTCTTATCCTCCACAACTACCCTGCAGTTTGCAACAAATAGGGGAACAGGATGGAGTTACGCCGAACCAGATAATATAATATAATATAGTATACCAGTCTCCAGGGTTTCAACAACCCTGCAGTTCCTCCACATCTGCCCCTCTGATCCTCCACATCTGCCCCTCTGATCCTCCTCTTCTGCTCCTCTGATCTTCCTCATCTGCCCCTCTGATCCTCCTCATCTGCTCCTCTGATCCTTCTCAGCAGCCTCTTTGATCCTCCACATCTGCCCCTCTAAACATCCACATCTGCCCCTCTGATCCTCCGCATCTACCCTGCTGATCCTCCACATCTGCCCCTCTGATCCTCCTCATCTGCTCCTCTGATCCTTCTCAGCAGCCTCTTTGATCCTCCACATCTGCCCCTCTAAACATCCACATCTGCCCCTCTGATCCTCCGCATCTACCCTGCTGATCCTACACATCTGCCCCTCCTCAACTGCCCCTCTGATCATCCACATCTGCCCCTCTCATCCTCCACATCTGCCCCTCAAAACCTTCACATCTGCCCCTCTGATCCTCCAGCCCTACCCTACTGATCCTCCACATCTGCCCCTCTGAACCTCCACATCTGCTTCTCTGATCCTCCACATCTGCCCATGCTGATCCTCCACATCTGCCCATGCTGATCCTCCACATTGTCCCCTCTGATACTCCGCATCTGCCCCTCTGACCCTCCGCATCTACCCTGCTGATCCTCTGCATCTGCCCTGCTTATCTCCGCATCTGTTCCTCCACATCTACCCCTGCTTATCCTTCACATCTGCTCCGTGAGACCCTCTGCATCTGGCCCTGCTGAGACCCTCCATCCGAGACATAAGGCCGGCACCTGGAGCAGAGCGGCAGCACGGAGATCAATAGCCGGATCATGCCTGCTGTCTCTTCTATAGGGAACTAAAATACAGAGAGGGGAATTTATCAGAACTGAAGCAGACAAAATCTTGTGCAGCTGTGCATGGCAACCAATCAGCTTCTCTCTTCAGCTTGTTCAGTTGATATTTGAAAATAAAAGGGAGAAGCTGATTTTGTCTTCTCCAGTTTTGATAAATTCCCTTCACTATGTCTTTGGACACTATATTTATATTTCATTCAGTGTAGAATGTTTGTCGGTCTGAAATATTTACAATTTGCATTTGTATAACTTTTTATTTTTTAAAGTATACAAAATCTATTAGAAATAAAAACTACAATGAGCTTGAACTCCAGAAATAAATGAATGAACAAATGTTATTTGTATTTTTATTTTCAATAAACATTTTTCATTAATTGAACACCAGTTGTCATGTTTGGTGACAACACAACAATAGGATTTGGAACCTTCCTTATCCTACACAATTGCATCTAATATTACACAATTAATGGCATACAATAGAAAAATCAACATATCTAAACACAGCCTGCATTTGCCATAATTGCAGTATATTTTATTGGAAGCTGTTGGTATTAGTATATTAGCTGTATGGAAACAAAGAGACCTGGTATCATTGTTCCTGTGTGTGTAAATGTAATCCAGTGGTTTTATGATTGTAAGGCTTTTGTTCACACTTGGTTTCTCAGTTTGTTTAATTCTTATGTAAGCAACGTCTATTTATATAGACACACATTTAGCTGCATGGTCTGGCACAGTTAAACAAAAAGGTGGAGCTCCATTAGAGATCAAACAGACATAAGTAAATAGAATTAGTAATATGTGGGAATGACGGACGTCAGACTGGAGAGAAATACAATCGGGTCTATATTTTCTGAATTGTGACAGGGAAAGTTTTACGCTTAGCAATGTGGGGCGTTTAGAATATGTTTAACTGTCTTTCCTTCCATTTCTCTACATCCTGTAGGCATGTACCGATGTAGGCCTAGGTTACCAGCTTCAGCTGCGGCTGAAGATTCATGGTTAAATTAACGCTAAACCCACTCTACTATAGGTCAATAATGTGTAACACACAGAGTGCAGGGATCGGGAGGGTGTAATGCAGAACACAGGTTTTAAGAGTGCAGAGAGCAGGAACCAGGAAGATGTAACATACAGAGTGCAGGGATCAAGAGTAGGTAACAGAGTACAGAGGACATCAGTCGGTAACACATGGAGCTGTCAGGGGTCATGAGTAGAGGACAGTAGCAAGTAACTCAGAATTCAGTAGTAAGTAATGCAGGGTTCAGGGGTCAGCAGTAAGTGATTTAAAGTTCAGGAGTCAGTAGCAAGTGACACAGCGTCCTAGAGGGAGACACCCCCAGCATTATTATTATACAGGATTTATATAGTGCCAAAAGTTTGAGCAGTGCTTTACAACATAAGGAAGACATCAGGGCAGCCATCAGAAATTTCGGGGCCCCTTACACGGCTTTAGGCCGGGACCTCCCCCCTCCCCCCCGCGCCGCTGGACGCAGGGCTTAGTGACGTCCTGGACGCAGGGCTTAGTGACGCGCTGGACACAGGACCCACCTGAGAGTGACCCTGCAGAGCCCACCATAGATGCTGCACAGCCCATCTGAGACTGTCTATGGTGGGCTCTGAAGGGGTCCTAGGTGGGCTGGTCAGGGCTGCATACCTCCCCTCCCTCCTTTCCTTCCTTTCTAGCTCCTCTTACCTGCACACATGGCCTCGTCTGCTGCTGGACCGGCCAGAAGTGACGTCACGTCACTAACCTGATGTCACTTCCGGCCAGTCCGACATCAGATGAGCAGCGTCGCTGATGGGGCCCTAGCTTGTCTCAAAGCCGCTGGAACGGCAACGCTGGGGCCCTGTGCTGCTGGGGCCAGGCCTCCGCTTCCTTGCCCTTCACCGTCGGCCGATAGTCATGTAAGGGACCCGGTTGGGCCCCCCAGGCTGCCCGGGCCCCTTACATGAGTATCGGCCGTACCCCCCCTGATGGCTGCCCTGGAAGACATTAGAGTTACACTACAAGTGAAGACAAGATGGTAAGAAGGGCACAGCATGTACAAAACTGGCTGTATATAGCTGCAGTTCTCTGCCGCTTGGGAAGTTTGTTTCCCAGCGACAGACCTCTCAAAATGGAGACTGGGAAACAGACTAATGGTAACCTAGATGGCCTCTTGTTTTCTGACAAGAAGAGGTCCAAGCTAGGGATGGGTATTACTTTTTCCTTTAATCCCAATAAAGTGAGTGTTTTCTTTGAAATTAATTGTTTTAAAATTCCATGCTGGCATTTTATTGTAACTCAGTTACAGCAAAGGCAGTATAAGGGTTTCACTTTGTACATCAGCACGGATGTAAGTAACAATGCAGGAGTAGTGATGAGCCGAACAGATCCGAGTTTGGTTCAAATTCGAACTTTAGAACATCCAAAAAGTTTGAATTCAAACTCACAGTCAATGCAAGTCAATGGGGGTAGAACTTTCAGAGAAAATTGTCCCCTTTAAGAGGTCTTATATGTTAGCTATTGGCCATAAAAAAGGCATGGGGGTCCGGGTACTGCACTAGGGGACAGGAATCAATTTAAAAAAAAAACTTTTTTTTAAATAGCAGTGATTTTTACATCACTTAAAGGATAAGAATAAAAATTAAAAATTCCTTTAAATATGGTGTCTGTGGGGTCCCCTTAAACTGCCTGTGAAGTGGCGGATCTGTACGATGTGTAGAGCCTGCTGTAGCAAAAAGTGACATTTAAAAAGAAAAAAAATGACATTGCAATTGCCGGTAATTGGTTTTCCTTTCATCTTTTAAACAACTGCCTGGGGAGGCAGCATGTCCTTTTTGGCTTTTTTTTTTCTCTCCCCTCTCAGCCGTTCTGCTGCAGCGGCCGAAAGTGGAGAGATACAAGAAGTGATTGCCGCTGCACCGGCTCCGGCGGGGGCCGTTTTTACAGGAGGAGAAGAATTCTTTGATGCCCGTGTACCGATCTGGCTCCTCGGCGGCCACGGACGGCAGCTCCCTCCCCTTTCAGCTGCTATAGGCTGGGAAGGAGACTGCACACGATTGGCTGGCAGCATAGTTATGCTGTGCGGGACCAAAAGGCAGGAGACACCACGATGCGGCTGAAGACATGAGTATTAAGCATTCACATTTTGGTTTACTGTTTTTAGTCAGGAAAAGCTAAACTTGTATTATGATTTCTTTGAGTCATTGCATGTTGCTTTCACCTTGGGAAATCTGCCGTAATAAATCCCGATTATAATGATTATAAGCAGAGGAGGTATCTCCTCACTGGATAAGATTTTCCAATCAAGGTCGTAGTTGCACAGTTGTACTGTACATTATGAAAATGGTTGTCTAACTGACCTTTGGGCTGAGAAGGGC